TCGATTCCAATCTGAAGATTACTTTTCATAATTATGATATCGGTTTCCATAGGAGTACGGCTCAAAACAACGGCCACACCGGTATGTAAACTATATTTTCGTACAAAAACATCAATCATATGACAATCAACCGAATGAACGTATAGTTCGTGTATTTCTGCGGCCGAACCCCAAGAACCAGGAAATGCCGTATATTTCCGGAGAAGCGGTTAATAATAAAGTATATATTTTGGATTCATTTCACTTTCATTGGGGTTTCGATGAATTTCAAGGTTCAGAACATTCGGTCAATAATGTCTTCAGATCTGCTGAGGTATCATAATATGATATTACCATGCATTTTCACTTCATTAATAATTTGTATAGATATGTATAAACTTTATGCTTTTATTAGTATACGTTTATTGTATCTTAAGCTTCATTTAGTGCATTGGAACTCAATTTATGACAACATGACAAACGCTATTGAAAAGGAGGACGGGTTGGTTGTGGTCACCGTCTTCGTTGAGAGCAAACTCATAACAGATTTCGGTGTCATTCATGTCAAGTCACACAACCCCGTAATGAGAGCTATAATCGATGTTTTGCCACAAATTCATGAATTCGGTTCAAACGTTCACCTCAAAGTGCCCATACATTTGAGGGATTTATTGCCCAAAGATAAGGACTTGTTTTACAAATACATGGGTTCTCTCACGACTCCCCCCTGCTCTGAAAGTGCGGAATTCATCATATTTGTTGATCCCATTTATATCACCTCAAGTCAGGTACCCCTGTATTCCAGTTATTTGTCGCACAATAGCCGCTAATCATTTCTCTTGTCAACAGATTTCACAATTTCGTGCCATAAGTACTGAACCGATCCATGGATTTGTCAGACATATGACGCATAATAGGAGAAACCAGCGGCCAATCAATGACCGCATTGTATGGGTTTCCGACCCTTTTTCTGATTACAACTCAGATTTTGATAAATAAACGCAAAATGTTTTTCCGAAAATTTTAATACAAATCAATATATAGAATAGATTGAGAATATTATAGGATAGCATACAATCAAATTTACAGACTAAATGAAATAA